ACTGAGCCACCCAGGCGCCCTGATCTATAATATTTCTGTTGTCACATATAAAGTGTCCACATATGTGGTGAGTCTGCTTCTGGCTCTCTATTCTGTTTCATGATTTACTTGCCTGAATTTGTGCTGGTATGCACTTTTAGTTTTTATTTATTTAAATTTTATTTTATTTTTAGAGAAAGAAAGAGAGCATGAACAGGAGGAGGGAGGGGCAGAGAGGAGACAGAGAGAGAGAGAACCCCAAGCAGGCTCCACGCTCAGCATGGGAGCCAGATGCAGGACTTAATCTCACTACCCTAGGATCATGACCCGAGCCAAAATCAAGAGTCAGACGCTTAACCAACTGAGCCACCCAGGTGCCCTTGCACTTTTAATTTTTAAATGTTCAAGTATTAATTAAAGCATAAGCAGCTTTTTCTAACACCTTGAATGAAATATTTTCAAATAAACTTTTAATGTGGCTACTTTCTAAAGGGCAAACTTTTCAAACAATTCTTTTTAAATTCCATTTAGTATATTAAAAATTAACTGCCACATTGAGAATAGCCTTTAAGCTTACCTTTCTTTCAGTAATATCATAGACTTTATTGGTTTTGGTAGAAATTTTATATTTCTGTTTTGGTACCTAAAAAAACAAAAGTATAGCTTAAGAAGAATTCAAGTATCATTATCATATCTTTTGGCTAACTCATGTAATTAGTTCATGACCTCAGTTTCATTTCTTGTCTACAAAGTATTTTGCTAAATATAAAAAATTTAAGCTTCTATTTTAAAAAATTAATTACTTACAATTCCTAGTTTCTTCTGACATAAGGGATAACCGCAGAGTTTAATAATAGAACGCTCATCCACGACATCACTATAGTGAGCAGGTGTGATGAACTTCCCCTAAAACGAAATGAGAGGGGCATTTCCCCGTTAGATTACTAGACAAGTTCATTTATAATCTCTCTAAGCCTCACTGATCTCATCTGAAAACGTAGGGATAATAAGTCTATCTCACAGGTATGTTAGAATCAGAGGAGAAAATAAAGGAAATACATTTAGAAAAGCACTGGACACATAGTAGGCACTCAGAAATGTTAGCTATTATTTTCTTTTAAAGAGTTTTATTTAAAAAAAATTTTTTTTTTATTTATTTAGCGGACAGAGAGATAGAGCACAAGCAGGCAGAGAGGCAGGCACAGGGAGAGGGAGAAGCAGGCTCTCCACTGAGCAGGGAGCCCAATGCGGGGCTCAATCCCAGGACCCTGGGATCACGACCTGAGCCAAAGGCAGACACTTAACCGACTGAGCCACCCGTGTGCCCCAAATGTTAGCTATTGTTAAAAAAACAAACAACCTGAAAAAACTTCTGCCAAAAGACTATACATCTTTGTAGATATATAGTTCATGAAATAATTCTGAGGCAGGAGAAAAAGTGGTGCTATAGTGTTTGCTATTCCAAAGCAAAACACTGAAAAGTATATTTTAAGAATATATTATTCAGGGCGCCTGGGTCGCTCAGTTGGTTAAGCGACTGCCTTCGGCTCAGGTCATGATCCTGGAGTCCCGGGATCGAGTCCCACATCAGGCTTCCTGCTCAGCAGGGAGTCTGCTTCTCCCTCTGACCCTCTTCCCTCTCGTGCTTTCTATCTGTCATTCTCTCTCTAATAAATAAATAAAATCTTTAAAAAAAAAAAAAAAAGAATATATTATTCAGGGGCACCTGGGTGGCTCAGTCGTTAAACGTCTGCCTTCGGCTGTCATGATCCCAGGGTCCTGGAATCGAGCCCCGCATTGGGCCCCCTGGTCAGCGGGAAGCCTGCTTCCCCCTCTCCCACTCCCCCTACTTGTGTTCCCTCTCTCGCTGTGTCTCTCTCTGTCAAATAAATAAATAAAATCTTTAAAAAAATAAAAATAAATAAAAATATATTATTCAAAAAATAAACCATGTAGAATAAAATATAATTTACCTGTTTTCAAAGAACTATCTTAAAAAACGAAGTATATCAAAGGTGTCAGGATGCAAAATCTTCCAGCTTCTGGAAAACTGTACAGGAGACTGATGAGGTGGTTATAAGCTGACACCAAGTATTTCCCCTTGATATATCTTCATGTTCAAATCTCAACTCATAATTATTTCATAACTTTGAGATCATTTTTGAACAAGTTTTTTCTGTTTTCCCAGGGACTAAAATACTTCTTACTAAGAGTGATAGAAGGTATTTGTTTCAAATGAAGCATTTCTGGTTTGTCTTTGTCTTTAGTGTCATCATGCATGCAGATTCTGATGTAGTTACCTATATCAATTTAAATACTGTCCTATTTATATTCCTCTTGTTTAGAAAAATCTCTGACCCACACTAATAATTATTTTTGCAATGGAAGCTCTGAGTTTTAATTATCCTTTTCTTTTTTCTCTTAAGGATTATGAGGATATAATAGAAATTTCCATTTTAAATTTAATGCAATAGAGTTGTTAAAGGAAAAAAACAGATTCAGTTTTGATAATACAAGGAAGTCTCATATTATTGCACAGATTTAAAGATCTAATACTACAAATGTAATAATTTACCAACTTAACACATACGCATTCCCTTAGGAATTCTTCTGTAATATCCTCTTCTAAAAGCTGTTCAACAATACGTAGAGCTTTTCTCTCAAATTCAATCTTCTTTCTCACAGCTGCTTCTAGTTCTGCTTTCCTAAAATTAAAAAATGAAAAAGTATTTAAAATTTAAAAGTTTGGGGCGCCTGAGTGGCTCAGAGGGTTAAGCATCTGCCTTCCGCTCAGGTTCTGATCTCCAGATCCTGGGGTCAAGTCCTGAGTTGGGCTCCCAACTCAGCGGGGAGTCTGCTTCTCCCTTTCCCTCTGCCTCTCTCCTTGCTTGTGCTCCCTCTCTCTTCTCATGAATAAAATCTTTAAAAAAATAAACAAAATAAAATTTAAAAGTTATTCTAAAGTTTTATCATAGCCAATTTTGTCTTAGAACACAGCATAAACATAACATGCTATTTTGCTATTTAAATTTGTATTTTTTAATGCTGTTACTTTTGATACAATATTTTTCAAAGTTTTAACACATAGAAGTCTGCCACAATAACAGGACTATTTGATTTCCAAGGCTTAGAGCACAAGGAAGAAAATGAGGTGAAATTTTTTTGCCAGTTAGTGATTATACTCCCTCAATCACTCCTATGTGTACCTAAAAAGCCAGGCTTTTCCTTTGAAATCCTTAGAAATCAGGAAAGATTAGAGAGGAAAAAGATAACTTCAGCTGTTCTTACAAGTAAAAATGTATTTGTGTCAACTCTCAAAAGTTAATGATAGCCCAGTTTGACAAGATAGAGTCCTATTTGCAAAGAAGTGTTTACTCACTTTTGTTATTAAATCTTATTAAATAACTATATTGACATGACAATGTAGTTTAGCAAAACAATCTTCCTATGAGGGCTGGTCCTTGCCCTGGCACCAGTGGGACTGTCAGCCTTTGCTGGCCCCTACACACCAGAGAACATAACGATAAACAATGGCTCTAGGAGAGTGGTTCTCAATCCTAGCTGCACATTAGGATCATCTAAGGAGATTTCTTTAAAAGATATTATGCCTAGGTCCCACTGCAAGCTCCAGATAATCCTAATGTGCAAAAGGGTTGAGAAACCTTGCCACAGGACCAAAGATACTCAACCATCTTGGTAACCTATTTGCTCCTATCCTGCACTGGTTTCTCCTTTCCTACCAGAACTACCTCAGCCAGCCTCCTGGGCCTTGACTTGGCTCTCATATCTGGATCTATAATGTATTCATTTTTTCTCCCTACTTTCATTGACTCTCAAGACTTTAGACTCTAATTCCTTGCCTAGAAAAATAATATTCTACAAAAACAATATAACATATATTAATAATAATCTACAAAAAAGAAGGATGATGCCGGATTGCCAACTCTTTCTTTTGCCAAATAGGGACATTAAAACAAGAAGAAATTTGCAACTAACAACTGTCCTCCTACGATTTCATAAAGGCCATTCTTACATCAAAGGAGTATAAAAGACATGAATACAGACTAAAAAGCAGTTTATGTTAAATGTATTTGGCTTTATGAAAAACATTATTTTATTTTTCTCATATTGCTGCCTACCAATAAAAGCTATGCCATATACTAGGATCTGTCTAACAACCCACACTAAGGAATTGCTGGCTCAAGGTGTTAACTACCTCAACCTGCAGTAATTCACACTCACTCTTTTTTTTTTTTTTTAGATTTTTATTTATTTATTTGACAGAGAGAGAGACAGAGAGAGCAGGAACACAAGCAGGGGGAGTGGGAGGGGGAGAAGCAGGCTTCCTGCCGAGCAGGGAGCCCGATGTGGGACTTGATCCCAGGACCCTAGGATCATGACCTGAGCCGAAGGCAGACCCTTAACGACTGAGCCACCCAGGCGCCCAGTCACACTCACTCTTAACTGATGCCTAGAGCTGCTTCCCATGAACAGCCCTATCTCGCTGTTGCCCTCTGTCCTAAATGATGACAGGTAGTATGGTGTACAGCAGTGGTTCTCAAATTTTTTGGTCTCAGCGTTCCTTTACACTTTGAAAATTAGAACTTCTGCTTATGTGGATTATATGTATTGATATTTACCATATTTGGATTAAAAATGAGAAAAATTTAAAGCACTTATTAATGCATGTAATAATAGTAATAGTAAAGCCATTACATGTTAGTAACTTTTTAAATAAAAAACTTAGTGAAAAGAGTAGAATTATTTTATATCTTTGCAAAGTTCTTTAATTTCTGGCTTAATAGTATTTGGTTGGATTGAATGTAGAAGTATTTTTCAGTTGGCATAGATTTATAAAGGATCATTTCCTTCAACAACTATTTGGTTACCTACCTTCCTGGATTTTTAACTGTTTCATTTATCCAGGGTAATCTGTCCACAATACATTCTAGTGTATTTATACTTCCCACACTGTACTGCTCAGAATAAAATATAATCTTTGGTTTGTGGTCAGATCACTATTGAGAAAAGTTGCAAATTACCATCATTATCAATATTAACTTTACTCTTGCACTGTATCATAAAACCAAGTCAATATAATTATGCTGCTCCACAGGGAAATATTCTCTAAAATAGATCGCAAGGGGCGCTTCGGTGGTATAGTTGGTTAAGTGTCCGACTCTTGGTTTCCACTCGGGTCATGATGTCAGGGTCATGGGATTGAACCCCTCGTCAGACTCCTCACTCAGCGCAGAGTCTGCTTGAGATTCCCTCTCCCTCTCCCTCTGCACATCCCACTTGTGTGCACTCTCTCTCTGATAAAAAAAATCTTAAAAACAAATAGATCTCAAATCCATCCAATTTCTCCATTCCTAGATGATCACCATCCCTAACATCTGTAAAACTTTTTAAACTTAAATTCCATCACTCTATTACTTGAAATTTCCCTATTTGCACTTAGAAAATCCAAATTTCTCACCACGGCCCACCAGATACTACATGAATGGAGTCCTAAGTTTTTCCTATGCTCCTTTCTTCCCTTGCTCAAAATGCCATACACTACCACAGGAATCCTTCCTTTCTTTGAACTGACCTAGCTTTTTCTTCTTTCAGGGTCTTTATACATACTGCCATCTCTGGCTGGATGTCTCTCCTCAGGACTCTCTGGTTAATGCCTACATACCTTTAGGTCTCAGCTTATTACTTCCTTGGAGAGTCTTTCCCTGATAATCCCCAGCTAATCTGAACTCCTACTAGTTTCATCTGATAACATCATAGTCTTTTCCTTTATAATACTTATCACAGTATGTAACTATGTATTCAGTTGTGATAATTTGATTGGTAGTTCTCTGTTCCACTAGAAAGGAACTGTGTTTATTCTGTTCAAAACCATATCCTGAAGGCCTAACACAGGTCTGGAATATCTCAAATTTGGTAAATAATTTTTCAAAGAATGAGTAAATGAAAGCCAATACCTTCCTGATAAAGGATAAATCATAGAAGTGCCTGGGTGGCTGAGTTGGTTAAGCATCTGACTCAATTTCAGCTCAGGTCATGATCTCAGGGTCATGAGATTAAGCCCTGCATCAGGCTCTGTGTTCGGTGGGGGAGTAAGATTCTCTCTTTCCCTCTCCTTCTGCCCCTCCCCACAGCACCCCCACACCTGCACTGTCTCTCTAAAATAAATAAATCTTTTCTTTTTAAAAAAAGGATAAACCATAGACATACGTATTTTAATCACTTTCATAGACTACTCCTACTCTAGAAACTTCTTTGTGACAGAAGCTAAATCTAGCCTTTTTAGGAGATGCCAAGAAACAGAATAGGACTTTTTGCTGAAAATGCAGACATGATGTAAACAAACAACAGTAAGGGTTTCTTGGAGTCTCTGGCATATAAAATAATAAAAGACAAGTGTACCTGAAGAGGTGGAAAAGGAATACCTGGTTAAATCAGGAATGTTTATTCCCTTAATCTTTCTACAGATACTCATACCTTCACCAGCAATCTAAAAATGTCTTGATTTGGTTTTCTTAAACCCTGGAGTGGAGAGATATAATGAGTCTATATGAGAATTTATAGTGCTTCTCAGATCTTCCCCTTCTCTCCCATAATTTTTTCTAAGGTATCACCCATTACTGTTTTTAAAAATGGTTCAATTAATATGAAATAAACAGATAATCTCATGCAGTTGTCCAAGTACTTCTCATACCTTTTAGAAGCATCTTCTTGTTTTAAGGCATTTGTCTGTTTAGCACCTACAATAATAATAAAAAAACAGTAGGTCAAGTCTTCAGAAAAACACTAGTTTACAGGACAGATTCCTACTCAAACTGCAGACAACCTTTTCTTCTTTTCCCCACATATTACTTTCCAATCCTGTGTGTAAAACAAATGAGATGGGCAGGGAATTCAGTTTGCTTGTATTTCCGAATTTCTCTTCGTTAAAATGTATTTCTTTGGGGATTGAATTTTCTCACGTATCACGGCTGGGCGGTTAGGTCCTGCTGAAAATCTGAGATATGGGTACTTTTAGGGGCAACCTGTTTCTGTCCCCCGAATGTTTGGGGGGTGTGGGTGACACCTCAGAGGACCCGGGGACCAAAGCAGCAGTACATCTCTACGATGGGCTCACTTGATCACTCTGGCGAGCCAGCTCTAGACTCCAGCACCTCTACTCTCTTTCCCTCAGAGACAACCCGTTCTGGGGGAAATCTAAAGAGCTGGGGGTATGGTCGGAGGTCTTTTCAAGAAGACCCAGGTCAGTGATGAGACGCTCTCGGCCTTCTCTGCCCTGGAGGCCTCCGCTCCTGGAGCAGTCTTTCCGGTGTGCCCCGCGGGCCTTACTGTGGAACCCTGTAGGGGCTCAGTTCTCAGGGTGCAAACGTGAGAGAAGGCTTTCTTCCTACCTGCGGCGTTTTTGGAGGCGCGGGGGGCCCGGGCCTTGAAACCGGCAGAACGCGGCCCCGCGGAGTCAGCCATCGGCAGCGTCATCTGAGGGTCAGGGCGGGACCTGGCGTCTCCCTCTGAGGCTCCGCCTCCCCTCGCGTAGCGCCGGGCGGGGCCGGGAGGGGCCGGCCGGGGCGGGGCCGGCCGGGGCGGGCCGGGGCGGGGCGGGGCCCGGAGAGAGGCCTGCGCGGCCGGAGGAGGTGGAAGAGGGCGCCGAGAGCGGCGAGAGGCCCGGCGGGTAAGTGGACGCACCTAGAAGTCCGGGAGGGCCCGCGCTCGCGGCCAGCTGTGAGCCGCGGAGGACCCGGCGCCACGGCCCGCAAGGCCCCGCGAGGTCATGGGGCCCGAACGCCTAGGCGAGCAGGAATCGGGAGAAATGGCTTCCCTTGGAAGCAGTCCGCACGCGCGCTGGGGTTTTATCCGCCCTGGAGCGCGCGGCGGTGAGGACCGGCTGACCCGTGCTCCTGCTGCGGGCCTGGGGCCGGGTCTTCCCGCTGGGACAAACGATGGCCTGCGGGACGGAACGGTGTTCTCCTGAGCGCTGCTGGTTGCTTCGTCTCTGTGCGACATAGGGATTACACCAACTGGATTATTTGGGGGACTGCATCTCTTACAGAAAAATGTCCGCGTCATACTTGGGACGGTGGGCATCTGAACTTTCACCCACTCTGGGTGAGTTGTATTGGCTCCAGTTTTGGTCAAGGGGGACGTTGAAAAAAATTTAATTCCCTAATGACTAGCACTGACTTCAGGAACACTTTTCAGAAATTTTTTCGAAAAGAAATACTTTGCCTTTTTAAAGCCATTTATTTAGTCCATATTTGCGCTCCTGTTGGGCGTACCCTAGAGGATTTTTTTTTCCAGTGTATCTTTCAAAACTGTTCTCCTAGAAAACTTAAAAGATGCAAGTTTTTTACTCCTTAGGCTAAGATGCTTTCAGTAAAAACATTTCAGCTTTAAAACTTCACATTTTCCTTACGGTATTTACTAATAATCAGAATGAAACACAACTTACACTTTGATAGCACTGATAATTAACTGTTTTATATTTCAGCATCAAAACTAGGAAAAATAACGAGGAATGGCTGTGGAAGAGCTTCAGTCCATAATAATGAGATGTGTAAGTAACTTTTTTTCTTTTTAATGCAAGTTAAATACCAGATTATTTTTAATTTTAATTAAGGTCATTCAAATTGCTTATCTTATTTAATCCTTGCTTTGTTTGACCTGTGAATAAATAGCAAGAGGGCCAGAAGGCAGATTGGATTATTTCTCCAAGTGACCTACTTGTTTAACCTTTTAAATTTTTAATACTGATCCTTATTGTAGAATTTTTTGGCGGACTGGATTTCAAGATCATTCATTAAAGTACTTTTTAGGCTTCTCCTAATTTTCACACATATGCTATGTGCAACTTACCTAGAATTCAGATTTACTTTTTTTTCCAGAGAGAATAAATCAAGTAGTTATTGAATTTTTATTCACCAAAACATGTTTGTTTTGCCTTCATTTTGTTTCTGTCAGCAAATCCTAGAAGAACAAGACTTTAAAGAAGAAGATTTTGGCCTATTTCAGTTAGCAGGCCAAAGATGCATAGATGAAGGGCATATAGAGCAGCTATTAGAAATTATTCAAAATGAAAAGAATAAGGTAAGTACAATCTTTATGAGTACTTTTTAGCCTTTACTGGGAAGATAACAGCCACATGATACTATTATTTGTCCACTCATTTATTTATCAAACATTTAAGAATTAAATTTCTACAGTAAGAAAGTGGAAAACAAAAAAGGAATTAGGGCTATTCATATACTTGAAGGTGCTTATAGTCTGGTGGAAGAGATAAGTATGTAAACTCGCAATAAGAAGGCGGAAAAATGAAACAAGTGATAGTTGGAAGTATAAGTAAAATACTTTAAAATAAAAGCAGGGATTACGTCTGGTTTAGGGATCAAAGGTGGCATTTGGTTTATTAATTTACATTTAGTACTATAAGTATCAGGCAACCTAGATACTCATTTTTGGTGATCAGCACATTCTCTTCCTTCAGCCAGATGTATATAGAAAACCAAATACTAAGTAAGATAATTTTTTGGGGGTGCCTGGGTGGCTCAGTCAGTTAAGCGTCTGCCTTCTGCTCAGGTCATGATCCTGGGGTCCTGGGATTGAGCCCTGAATGGGGCTCCCTGCTCAGCGGGGAATCTGCTTCTTCCTCTCCCTCTGCCACCTCCCATGCTCGTTTTATCTCTATCTCAAATACATAAATAAAATCTTAAAAAAAAAAAAAGGATAATATTTGGGTGCATAGAATCAGAATAGGAGGAGACCTAGATGGCCTTACTGGCTGATATCATACAGCTGTGATTATCTGATAAGTCATTCTCAACAATGGGAAAAGGATCTTTGGGGGATCAGGAACAACTTTTTCCTGGGACACAGTGTTGGCAACACTGCCAAATATTGTGTCTTTGTACTCGCCTTCTTATACAAGAAAAGACCATCTTCTTTCCAGGAACGCACTCTTCATTTACAGTACTATTTATTTACATGAAAGTTTTCTTTGTTGATATCACAGTGTAGTCATGCTGGCCTCTTGATTATAACCAGGGCACCTTGATTGTGTTCAGGAGATTACTAAAACTTTTAAACCACACATTGTAGTTCAAAGGGTTTATTCCTTTTTTTTTTTTTAAAGATTTTATTTATTTATTTGAGAGAGAGAGAATGAGAGATAGAGAGCATGAGAGAGAAGAGGTTCAGAGGGAGAAGCAGACTCCCTGCTCAGCAGGGAGCCCGATGTGGGACTCGATCCCGGGACTCCAGGATCATGACCTGAGCCGAAGGCAGTCGCTTAACCAACTGAGCCACCCAGGCGCCCGGTTTATTCCTTTTTTATTAAAAATAATTTTTTAAAGAAAAATTAGGACATTTCATTTAATACATTTGTTTTTGATATGTGTTTATGGAACCTTTGTAGCCCCAAATACGGTAAATTTAATATTTTCTTTAACTCCTTGATGTTTCCCAATTGTGTTCTCAGAGGATAACCTTTGAGAGTACCTTACGTACAGCTAATAATAATAAATTTAATAACGGCTAGTACTTAAGTATTTACCATGTGCCAGATGCTGTCCTAAATGCTTTACATCTGTTAACTCATTTAGCTTCCCAGAATCCTATAAGGTACTATTAAGTTCATTTTGTAGATAAGGAAACAGTCATGAAAGATAAGTGACTTGTCCAGAAGTAACTCAGTTTTTATGTAACATCTAGGGTTCAGACCTAACCACTCTCCAGTTAGCACTGTGTGGCACTTAGAAGGACTTTTTGGAGTGTTACCAGGGACTAATTGATTGTGGGGCTGAGAGAGAGAGATGACAAAGATGACTGGGTTTCTAGCCCCAAAGAGGATAATATATTATATCCTGAACAGAAAAGGGCAACCTAAAAAGAGAGAATTTCTTGAAGGAGTGCAAGTAAATTTACTTTGGAAATGTTTAGTTTAAGATGCAGCAGGCAGTTGAAAAGTAACATTTGGAGCTCAGTCAAGAAACAGGAGATTAAAATGTAGAATTGTGCATCACTATTAGAAATTAGGTGATTGGGGCACCTGGGTGGCTCAGTCATTTAAGCATCCGACTCTTGACTTCATGATCTCTGGGTTGTGGGATGCAGCCCTGTGTCAGGGCTTCGTGCTTAGCAGGGAGTCTGCTGGAGATTCTCCCTCTCCCTCTGCCCTCCCCCCCTTCTCTCCCTCTCTCTCTCCCTCTGTAAAATAAATAAGTCCTTAAAAAAAATTAGGTGATTGTGTTAACTAGAATTTAAATAAACACTTTAAACAAAAAAAAAACTGAAAGAAAATTAGGTGATTGTGATATTTTTTAGCATAGTGAGTTTATCTTAATAGCTTGAGAATCACTTTTGGAATGTGTGGTCTGCTAAATTCAAAGGTTCAGACACTGATAAGACAGTGTTTCAGACTGACTGGGACTTCATTTTCTTGCCAGGTGATGCAGTCAGGATTGATCAAGATTTACTATTACTCTGCTTTGTATAAATTAAAAAGAAAAAAAAGCCATATGAATAGTTTGTCCTATAGTACAGGGCTTCTCAACATTAGTACTCAGGTATTTTGTAGCAACCCCCTGCCCCGCCCCCCACTCCGTAATGACAATCAAAATTGTCTCCAGATTGCCAAATATCCCCTGGTAGATAACAAAATTGCCCCTATTGAAAACTACTGGTGTAGTGGGAAACACATGGGCTTTGGAGCTGGACAGATTTATATGCAGTTCCTGTTCTGCCACATTTATTTGATATTTGGGCGTGTCAGTAATCTCTAAACTCTGGCATTCTCGTCTGTTATTTGGGGATAATCTTACTCTGTAGATAGTATTAAACTAAACAAGGTGTAGTTTATGGATAGTATTGATTCCCCTTCCTTATATTCACTATTTACAGAATGACTAGATACCTTGCAGCTGAAATGATGTTTGCAAAATATTTTATGAAAATTATTTTTTTTCATTTCACATATGCAAAGTCTTATTCAAATCTATAATTTCCCATATAATTATTTTCAGAGAATCACTTATAGGGTAGAAGTACACCAATGGAAAGGGAAAGAAGTGCTTAGTTGGAAAAGTAGAGTCTAACAGGAGCTAATTAAGTTTTAAAAAGCAAGTATCGTCTTTAATGTTGGACTAAGAGGTAGTTTGGAAAAAAATTAATAAGCTCATAATATAAATTTCTGATTAAAGACCTAAATATTAGGGATGCCTGGGTGGCTCAGTTGGTTAAGCATCTGCCTTCGGCTCAGGTCATGATCCCAGGGTCCTGGGATCGAGTCCTGTATCAGGCTCCCTGCTTGGCGGGGAGCCTACTTCTCCTTCTCCTCAGGTGTGTGCTCGCTCTCTCTCTCATTCTGATAAATAAAATCTAAAGACCTAAATATTAAAAGTCTAGCCACATAAAAAAATAGAAGAAAACAGAACAGAATGTCAAATCTTTGGAGGGAGGATAATTTGTTACACTTAAAGATAACAGATATTATTTAACCTGTATTTATGGAGCACCTTTTTATAATAGGCCCTTGTCTAGATGCCAGGAATAGATGTAGCAGTAAACAAAAAATCACTGTCCATATAAATCTTAAATTCTAATGAAGACAGGGATGTACATGAAAAATTATATAGTATGTTAGATACTATAGAGAAAAATAAAGCATAGCTGGGGGATGGACCATGCTAGGTGAAATTGCAGAGATTTGACAGAAGGAGGGGTGTAAACCATGGGGCTCTGGGAGAAGAGTGTGCCAGCCAGAGGAAATAAAGGAAATAACTAGTATGAAAATATTTAGAGAAAACAGCTGAACCGTCTTTCCCAATAGATAAAATGGATGATTGTTTTGCTATTTATTTTTTAAAAATCAATTTAAGCCTTCATTTTATGGCATTTTTTTAAAAGATTTTATTGGTGTTTATATGCAAACAGTGAATCATGGAACACTACATCAAAAACTAATGATGTAATGTATGGTGATTAACATAACAATAAAAAAGATTTTATTAGAGAGAGAGCACGTGCGCATCTGCACGTGCATGAGTTGGGGATGGGCAGAGGGACAAGCAGACTCCCTACTGAGCACAGAGCCTGACACGGGGCTTGATCTCATGACCTGAGCCAAAATCCAGACCTGAACACCTAACCAGCTGAGCCACCCAGGTGCCCCTTACTCCATGTTTTTAGCATAAATCTTACTGAATAAAAAGAAAGGTGAAATGTATATATATTTAAATGTAAATGAATGTTTATGAATCCCTAAAAGAGGGAATCCATTTTAGACCTAAAAGCCAGTAGGAAAGGAACCAAAGAAAAATAAGTATATTTTGCTATATAAAAAATAAGGACAACCAAAAAACCAAGTAATTATTTGTCATAAATACAAGAAGGGAATATTAACATGCAGATTGATAAAGACAGATGCTAAAATGTCCAATTGATAAATGAGCAAAAATATAAACAGTATTTCCTCTTTTGTGAGTTACATGTTCATGTACCCTAACATATTCTGTTGCTAGTTCTCTAGGACATGGTAAGTCTTACCTCTTTACACACTGCTATTTTAGAGCCTTAAATATATTTCCCACCTATCTATGCCTGACACATTTCCCTAACAAGCCTTAGCTTAGCCACTGCCTCTTCTGGGAAGCCTTTCTTGCCTTTCCTAGGTGGAAGTGACAATTCTCCTGCTATACCTTATACTCTACCTTGATTATCTTGTAAGACTGAGATCATGGTGGGGGTTATTGTACTTAATTGTCTTCTTCTTAGATGTGTGTGTGTTTTGTTTTTTGTTTTTAATGCATGAACCTAGAATGTAAACTCTTATCAGGATGGAGATCTTCCCTTGCCTTATTTCTAGCACCAGAATATTTTAGGGACTTGACATATAGTAGTATATTCTTGATAAATACTGATGAGTTAAAATAGAAAGCAGGCCAGAGAAATGGAGTATATTGTTGCTAGTTCCGAAAATAGTGGTTTTGACCATGAATGTGAATCACTAATTAAAAAGATAAACTTTTACTTGTGTGGTAAATATTCTGAAATATCTTTGAAAATAGAAGTAACTTATATGTAGGAGAGAAAGTGGCATCCCCTTCTTTTACATAAGTTACATAATCATAATATATGTACAGATTTTCCAAAGAACTTTAAAACGTTCATAAGCATTGGATAGATTTCTTCATGAATCAGGAGAGCAAAATTCTCCATGAAAATACGTGTTTGCTCACAAATTAACTCTCTTCTTGGAAATAGAGGAACTATTTAAATTGTGAAAAAGACCAGCTTACCTGATTTAAAATAAATGCCCATTCGCCTTTCCTCAGTGAGAGTATTAAAAACTATCTTAAAATGTTGATAGTTGTTAGCAGCCAACCCTAAGAAGTCAGGGTGAAATGCTGTAGGCTTTATTTGCCTCATCTTAGCTATTTCAGAGGAAATTTTAAGCTCCTTCATTCAGGTTAAGAAAGTTCACCGTAAGAGTCCTATAGATGGCAGTATTTTCTTTACTCTGAAAATGTTTTTACAGGTCATTATCAAGAATATGGGCTGGAATCTTGTTGGTCCTGTTGTTCGATGTCTTTTGTGGAATAAGGAAGATGAGAAAAGAAAATATTATTATCTGATGCTTGATTTATTGGTAAAGGTGAGTTAACAAAATTAGGTACTCTTTGTCCAATAGCCAGCAGTATTTTGTAATTCCTTTTAGTGTTTAATGCTCATTGGGGGTGACAAAGCTTTTCGTTCATGAAAATATAGGAGAGAATTCTTTGAAGAAAAGGCCCAATTTTATTGGTTGGATGGGCAAGTCCATTTCAGTTTTTCCAAATTTCTGGATATAAGAATTATCTAACCTCATCTCAGACCCACTGATTCAAAATCTCCAAGAAGACACCTAAGAAGTTTTATTTTTATAATAGCTTATTGTATAGAAGTGGAATTCAGGGTTTAGTGAGGCAGTTATAGTTTAAAGCCACACTGTTTTTTTAGCAGCATTGGAACTAGCAAATCTCAGTGTTCTTTTCTCTGTGGTATATTCTCTAAAAGAATATCAGAAACCTAGAATGCAAATGATCACAGGGGATATAGGAAGAGGAAGTAGATTCGTTGCAACCAACAACCTTAGAGACTTTTGATAAAAGGTTACTAGAGTTACAAGTCAAAAATGATGGTATAGGAGGATCAGGAAAAGGACATAAGAAGCTACCTAGAGATCAGTGCAAATACAAATATATACTTGGAAAGAGGAAACCCCCTCTAGAGAGTAGTTATTAACTCTGAGGACTTTTAAAGAAGGCAGGTGAGGTAATTCTGGCTAGTCAGAAGACAATGCAAAGTTTTATCTGTTCAGAAAGTACAAAAGAGACTGTATTCATGTAAATACCCTGGCAGTGTGAGATAGAAAGGTCCCACCTGCTGAAGTCCTGGGAAACTAAGGTCGCTTTCAGAGTAGACAGGCAAAGCTCCAAGGAAACCTCAGTTCTGATAATCAAGTTCTTCTTTCTCCCTATTTTTCTAACTTTTCCTTTAGCTAGGAATTTTAGTCTCCAAAATATAGTTGTCTCTTTTTTTAACGATTTTATTTATTTGCGAGAGAGAGCACAAGCAGGGGAGAGGAGCAGAGGCAGAGGGAGAAGCAGACTCCCCGCTGAGCAGGGAGCCTAATGCAGGACTCAATCCCAGCACCCTGGGATCATGACCTGAGCTGAAGGCAGACCCTTAACCGACTGAACCACCCAGGCGCCCTTGTCTATTTTAAGCGTCTGCCTTCGGCTCAGGTCATGATCCCAGACTCCTGGGATCGAGCCCCGCATCAGGTTCCCTGCTCAGTGGGGAGCCTGCTTCTCCCTCTCCCACTCCCCTGCTTGTGTTCCCTCTCTCGCTGTGTCTCTCCCTGTAAAATAAATAAATAAAATCTTAAAAAAAAAAAAAAAGATTTATTTATTTGAGAGAGAGTGGGGGAGATGGAGAGGGAGAGAGAATCTGAAGCAGTCTTCACCCTGAGCACAGAGCCCAACGAAGGGCTCGATCACACAACTGTGAGATCATGACCAGAGCCAAAACCAAGAGTTGGAGGCTTAACTAACTGAGCCACTCAGGCACCCCAAATATAGTTGTCTATTAAGAGATTTATGACTTCTTGCTTCTTTGTAGTTTTACAGTGATTTGACAGATTCTGTGTTTTGTTAGTGTATTTTTTTAACAGTAGTATGAGGTGTTATTACTGTTAAGCAAAAATAATATTTTTCAGTATATGCTACCTTTTAAAAATAGTAATCATGTGGCTCTAAATACAACTTGTATTAAACAGGTTCAATTGTGAATATTTTTATAGTTATGTAATCCAAAGGAATTATTGTTGGGTTTGCTTGAACTGATTGAAGAGCCCTCTGGAAAACAGATATCCCAAATTATCCTTCTTTTACTTCAGCCATTACAAACAGGTAATGAGTATTTTGATATCTAAGTGTCTCTTATTTTATCTGTGTTAAGTTCTTGATATTACTCCAAAATGTCAACAGTATACCAAAGTAAAATTTATGACTAATTATTGAGTACTCTGCTTAAACCAGCAGTTGCGGTACCAATTTGAATCCTGCTGCCTATACAGAGATGACAATACCTGGCACTGATGGGTACCTAATTTTGACATTTGTTGAATGTCATGCTGTTTTTCTGGTATTAAGTTATAATCTATAGCTTTCTGCCTAACCTTCCTATCTACAACATTAATCTGGAATTTTCCCTGTAAACATATTTAAAGGATTGCCTCGCTTTACTCTGTCAGCATTGTGGTAGGTCCTGTATCTTGGTTAAGAACAGTATTGCACAGGCATTGCCCATCATCTGCACTGGGAAGTCGGGGCTGGGAATAGCAAAAGAACTACTGAATGAAACAAGCGTAGAAAGAAAAGTCTCCATGACTGAGTGCAGTAACATTATTGTAAAAGCAGTGGACCTTGGCAACCAAAGCAGACAGTATTTATCCATCAGAAGAGACTACTTTTTCATTTTATAACTTATATATAACTCAGAGTCTGACAGAAGGACCCAGAATCTAGAAGTGAGAGTAAATTCATTTTAAATGAGAATGAAGCAGCTTTGTAGCGCTTAAAATATTCAAAGTCTCCTAGAAAGGAAAACACAGTAAAACTACCTCTCATTTTTACATTATATTTTACAAAGACACTTTCTCTTATTTGATACTTATAACAACCAAAAAATAATGGAACAAAGTGTTTCTGTCTTATCTATGTAAACCGTTAGAAACAAACTTAAACAAGATTTCGTGGCATCTGCTGTAAGGTGCCATGATTGTAAGATGATCCAATATTTCATGCACCACTAAGAAGAAGAATAAAAACACTACCAATTAAGTTATGATATGTCATCCTGATTTCAAAGTTGTTATAATGTTTTTTTTTTAAACGTGTTATAATTCTACATTTACTGGACTTCTGGTCCCATGTGTAGCATACTTGATGAAGCTACCTCAAGTCACAACTTGGTCTCTGTTTTAGTGATTCAGAAACTTCATAACAACAAGGCATATTCGGTGGGATTAGCATTGTCCACTCTTTGGAGTCAGCTATCTCTCCTTCCTGTTCCATACTCAGAAGAACAAAGACAAACAGATGACTATGGCCTTTGTCAGTGTTGCAAGGCCTTAATAGGGTTCACTAAGCCTTTTGTGGAAGAAGTCATTAATGACAAAGAAAACTCACTGGAAGATGAAAATGAAAAGTTAAAGGATGAATTACTGAAATTGTAAGTATACTTTTGGTAACATTTCACAATGGAATTAAGTAACCGATGAGTTATTTTATGTTTCTTTGTTGTATTTGTTTGCCATGGACATATAAATCTAGTTTCAGGTTTTGAATTTTAGAAGATTATGGGGAGCCTCATTAAATGCCATGTTCTGCATTTTTAAAAATTAAAAACCAAAATCCATTTGTTTAATTTACTTTATATTCTTCTATGACTTACTTTTATTCATCACAGTAAGTGAATAATTAAAGTGGGGGAAATAGGTATAGCTCGAAGAATCTGGTCTTTCTGTGGGGGAACTGTGTTTTTACTTTCCTTTTGAAAGCAACAGAAGCAGCACCAGACAGTTGAACATCCAACTTGACCACAAAAATGGTAACAGTACTGAACAGCATTCAGTCCAGGGGCACTATACAGTAAACATGCGCTGTTCAGTGTGGCTGTCAAGCACTTGATGTATGGCTACTCCAGATTAAGATGTGCTCTAAGGGGGCGCCTGGGTGGCTCAGTCATTAAGTGTCTTCCTTCGGCTCAGGTCATGATCCCAAAGTCCTGGGATTGAGCCCTGCATTGGGCTCCCCGCTCTGTGGGAAGCCTGCTTCTCCCTCTCCCACTCCCCCCTGCTTGTGTTCCCTCTCTCGTTATCTCTCTCTTTGTCAAATAAATAAATAAAATCTTAAAAAAAAAAAAAAAAAGATGTGCTCTAAGTATAAAATGCTCCTTGGATTTTGAAGACTTGTTATTAAAAAGAATACTAAAATACCTCAATTTTCTTTTTTTTTTTAAGATTTTATTTATTTATTTGACACAGAGAGAGAGAGACACACAGCAAGAGAGGGAACACAAGCAGGGGCAGAGGGAGAGGGAGAAGCAGGCTTCCCGCAGAGCCGGGAGCCCGATCTGGGACTCGATCCCAGGACCCTGGGATCATGACCTGAGCCGAAGGCAGACGCTTAACCATCTGAGCCACCCAGGTGCCCCTCAATAATTTTCGTACTGACATATTGAGATAATACTTCAGATATATTGGGTTAATAAGAAAAGTTACTACTTTCCCTTGTTTCTTTTTTAATGTGACTACTAAAAGATTTTAAAATTATATGCGGGGCTTGTATTATATTTCTGTTGGACAGTATTGGACTAGATTATTGAATTACATGGACTAGTAATTTTATCTTTTAAATTTTGGAGACTAAAACTATAGTTAGCTTTCTATTTTTTCAGGTTAGGACATTAAAAAATTTTTTGCCATTTATAGAACCCATTATTTCATGAAATAAAGATATTTAAACTAAAGAAATTGGGAAGGCTTAATCACAGAATAAAGTTTGGTTTTCTAAATAAATAGAGCTTTATGAAAAAAATTACATTTCCTGATTTTTCCTTGACCTAATGAAAACTACATCATGGAATAGCACTAGTCCTTAAACCTTCAGTAACCACTGATACAGTCCAGACATGGAAGTGCATCTTACACATAGAGTCTAGCAAGTTGTTCTCATGCTTTCCCCAAGACCAGTAGGAAGGATTTTTTTTTTTAATTTTTAAGGTTTTATTTATTTATTTGACAGAGAGCACAAGCAGGGGAAGTGGCAGGCAGAGGGAAAGGGAGAAGCAGGCTCCCCGGTGAGCAGAGAGCCCGATGCGGGTTGGAGCCCGATGTGGGTTGAAACCCTGGGATCATGACCTGAGCTGAAGGCAGCCGCTTAACCAACTGAGCCACCCCGGCGCCCCTAGGAGGAAGGATATTACATGAGCAGTTCTACAGGCGGTTGAGTTATTTTTCATGTAAAATTAACTTTGATATGTTTGTAGAACTAGATATTTTATACTTAGGAAATACTCTATTCACAGTTACCCATTTCTTATACCTTAGTTGTTTCAAAAGCTTGAAATGCCCTTTGCTGACAGCACAATTCTTTGAGCAGTCCAAAGAAGCTGGAAATGATCCTTTAAGATGTTTTGCATCTGAAATAATAGTAAGTATAGCTAATTTAATCTGCCATAAAATCTGCTATAATTTAAAATGTTATCCTGCTATATTCTCATGTACTGCACATGGGCATGTAAATTGATACATTATTAATGGTGATATGTATTTTTTGTAGAACATAGATAAAAGGATAGAAAATAAACAGCAATATTATTTGGGTAATGAAATCAACACCTTCCAGACTTTGCTTTTGTAGTCAGAAATAAATATATACATAGGTATAATTTTTTTTAAAGATTCTATAGCATTATACATATTCTTCTGTAATGTACTTTGTTTCTCAGCATATTACGAATATTTTTACATTGTCTTTCTGTTTTTGTTTAACTTGGGCCATCTAGCTCTAGGTTTTCTCCCAATTTTTCAGTATTATAAAACAATTCCACCTTTCTTTTTTTAACTGTTAAGTCTGTGATAAGTATCCTTTTAACCAAATCTTTGCATATTTCTTCAGTTGTTTTCTTAAATTTCTAGAAGTGGAATTTCTGTGCCAAAGGATATCCTCACTTTTAAGACTTATGATAAATATTTTCAAAATAACTCCAGAAATAAGTTTTATTTTAAAAGTAATTTGGCTTAATGCATCCAAGAGTATTTTTAAGTGTGTTGGGATTCTATATTAGGGAACTAATCTGAAATACGGAAAATATGTACTTGAGATTGATAGTCATGAATTTCAGGTTAGAGCAGTCATTGTGGTTGTGGGTTTTCTTCAGCCATGTTCAGCTGTATAGGAAGAAAGTTGGATTTAACTAGGTCAGAGTTTTGAGAACTGTGAGTTCTACAAAGCAAGAGAAGGGGAAAGACATGTATGCAAGGAAGTGACTGTGATGGACATGGATGGATGATAGAATTTAAGCTGAGTAAGGAAGGAAGTTTGGACATACTAAATGTGAGAGACAGTGGAAAAGATGATGGGATCACTGGATTGTAGTTCCCAGTGTGACTGACAAGTTGTTGGAGCTAGGTTACTAAAAGGAATGAGCTGAAAAGATTGGGGGTTAAAGAACAGGATGCTTGAAATAATACTGTGGAAAAGTTCAGTTACTAATAACAATGTCTGGGGTATGACCATGGAGTGGGTGGGTGTTCTAAGGAGCGGGTGGAGACTGAAATCATTGGACAGTGAAGTACCTGAGAGTCCATGGTATTAGAAGTTCTTTGGTTGTACATTTAAGTCACACAATTATAAGAATTATGTCCAAAACCCAATTAATGGAGTGACCTTGGGGTAGATGTTGGATAGTCACATGAAATGAGTTTCAAAGCTGAGGGGTTCAGAGAGGATGAGCAGCAAGGAGCATAGGTATTTTACTTCCAGGCTTGGTATAGTGGATATGGGTGAAAAAATAGCAACTCTTTGAGAAGTCTGCAGAGAAAATAGTTGTTTTCAGAAGAGTCAGATTTCTTTCAGAGCAAAAGAGGTAAAAGACAATTTCATGAAGAATGGATTTTGCTAATAACTGTGAGTTCCACAGGCCATACTTTGAACGGTACCTGAGATCTGAGAAGAGGTAGGAGAAGGGTTTAGAAGAGGAGATGCCAGAAATTTAGGGGAACTAGATTCTGAGGATAAGAAATAATCTGGTAACTAATATAAATAGGGTTACATAGTTAATGGGGTTAATGCTGATGGTCAAGATAGTAGAGAAGAGGCTCTGAGTGATGTAGAGGGAGAAAAGGGGAGGGATTTTCCCAGCAGACTGGGGCCTCTTCATTGTTGCCAGTGTTAGCATACAGCATAATCCCCTGGATATAGTGTAAACATTACCATATATGATAAATGTATTGAGAAGATAGATATGAAAGCTGGTAACTGTTGCAGGATTCTAAGCCTGGGAGTGATGTAATTGTTTTGGATTCATCACATAAGTGGAGGTTGAATTTAACCAAGATAAGATTAGAAATAGGGAGATCCTTAGGTGTATTTTGGGAGTTAAGTGAGAAATAATGGGATCCTTATTATGGAAATGGTTGTAGAGATGAAGAGGAGAGGGCAAAATAAAAAATTTTATAGTAGGTAAAATCAACAAAATTTGGTCATTAATTGGATTTAGAAAATTAGTTCAAAAGTTGATTCATGGATGAAGTTTTATGCTTGGGTAACTGGGCAGATGATTGAGATAGAGAATACAGGGCAGGGAACAGGGTGTTTTGTGCTTTAAAAACATTTTTTATTAAGATAATTTAAAAAAATCCAGAAAAGTGGAAAGAACAATATAATGTAACCTCATGTACCCATTACCCAGCTTTAACAATTTTTGACATTTTGCCAATCTTTTTTTTTTTACTGTAGTATTTTATAGCAAGTCCTAGACCTATCATTTCATCCATAAATCTTCAAGTATGCTTCTCTAATTAATAAGGACTTCTAAAAAGATAGCCATAATTCATTATGACATCTAACAAGATTAACAGTAATTTCTTTTTTTTTTTAAGGATTTTTATTTATTTATTTGACAGAGATAGACACAGCGAGAGCAGGAACACAAGCAGGGGGAGTGGGAGAGGGAGAAGCAGGCTTCCCGCGGAGCAGGAAGCCCAATGTGGGGCTCGATCCCAGGACCCTGGGATCATGACCTGAGCCGAAGGCAGACGCTTAACGACTGAGCCACCCAGGCGCTCCTTAACAGTAATTTCTTAATATATATTTAATTCCCAGAGAGCCGGTTTTGAAGGGGAAAATTTTGAATGATCAAATTTTGATGAGATCATCTAAAGAGGTAGTTAAGTGTGAGAAAAGAAAAGGGCATAGGACTGAACCCTACAGAGTACCAACACTTAAGATAAGCCTACCAAAGAGACCAAGAAAGAAGGGTCACAGAGGTGGTACAGATATCACAGAAACTGGGGTAGTAGAGTTTGAGGAAGAAAAAAGTGATTGGTCATGTTACATGTAGACTGTAAAGTAACAGTTGAAAAGCATCCATTGGATTTAGGGAGATGGCATTGATAATCTTAGCAAGAACAGTTTAGGTGGAGTGTTGGAGACAAAAAACAGTGGAGTGGTTAAAGGAGTGCATGAACAATGAGAAAAAGATGCCAACTAGTATAAGGTGTTCTTCAAAAGAGGATAAGAAAGAAGAGTAGTGGGAAGACATGAGCCTGGGGTAGGAGGGTAATGGGGGAGATAGGGAGTCTTGAGCATGTATATTTATAGACTGAAGGGGTGGGAACCATTAGAGAGGAAAAGAGAAGGGTTACTATGGGATAACTGAAATAATGTGGCTCGAGAGCACACAGCTGAGCACAGGATCAAGGACACCTAGAGGAGGTAAGAATGGGTATGCATGCAGGGCAATTTGTAGCAGGAATGGAATTAAAATTGAAGGGAATCAAACTCACTGGCTTCAGATTTCTAGGTGAAGGAGATCTCTTAATCTAAGAATTAGGGCATCTGGGTGGCTCAGTCGGTTAAGCGTCTGCCTTCAGCTCAGGTCATGATCCTGGAGTCACAGGACTGAGTACAGCATTGGGCTCCCTGTTTGGCGGGGAGTCTGCTTCTCCCTCTGCCCCTCACCCTGCTCGTGTTCTCTCTCTCTCCTACTCTGTCTCTCAAATAAATAAAAAATCTTAAAAAAAAAAAAGCATCTAAGAATTAGAAATGGGGGCTTCAAGGAATTGGTAAGGGTTTGGAATACTGAAGGGAAAGGAAAGAGATGGTAGACCATAAAAGCATTAGTCAGTAGTCTGAGCATTCGACTGAGGTTGGAGACCACAACTATAGTGGTAACAGTTTGTATTTGTGTATGATTTTTCGCCAGCGGTACTCAACTGCCTGGGTAAAGAAGTAGAGAAGGTGGATTGTAGTTATTTTCCCAAGCTGGCATTTTATCGAGTAGATGGAGCTGAAGAAAATAGAGGGTGTAAGTAGTTCAAATAACCAATAATGTGTTGGTTGGACAGGGAAAGAAGGGGAATGAGGAGGGGACAGATAGGTAGGTTAGATGAAGGGATCCCAGAACTAGAGAAATCAGAGGTAGAAAAGAAGTTGTAGTCACAAAATGAGATGTGGGGTTTAGGTATCTAATGTGGAAGAGCTGCAAATGCTGGGATTATGTGCTGAAATGAATTAGAAATTAAGGTCATCGGAATTCAGAAATCAAGAGCCCTGAGGCTGGCCTATTAGAGGAGTTATCTACATGAACACTGAATTTTTTCCCATATGGTGGCAGGAGTTGGATAGAGAAAATGATTGTGAGCAGGTACCAGAGTCTTCAGTGAATGTGAGGAAATGACCAGGCAGTCAGCATATGGCAGAGATGAGGACAGATAAAGGGCAGTATGGCATCTGCCTCAAAGGAAAATGTGCTTTTGCTTGAGAATGCAGGACGAACCAAGATAATACCCAGGCTCTACCCATACCACCCTTCCCCACTGCTGCCTCCCTGACTGTGCTGTGTAAGAGATGTGAGAGGATGAGCAGCTTGCGCCAGAAATCAAGTCAGGTTTAATTACAGCAGTAAGATAGAGCAAGTATCTTAAGAGGTTGAGTGTGTAGGGAAGAGGTCGTAAGATCTCAGTGGAAGGATCATTGTGAGTAGAGACAGAATGAGGAAGCACAAAGCAGTCAAGTAGAGGTGAGCTCTTTTTTTTGCCACTTGCTGTGCCAGCCACACGCTCCCCTGTACCCCTCATAGCCATTCTTTGCAAAATTGAAAAAATCAAGAACTTTCTGCTCATGGCCAGGCGGAAGGATGCCAAATCCACCAAGATCAAGAAAAAGGATAATGGTGAAGTTAAAAGTTCGATACAGCAGAGACCTAGTATACACCTTAGTCATCACACACAAAGAAGGCAGAGAAACTAAAGCAGCCCCTGCGCTCAGTTTTGGCAGTGAAGGAGTTGAAATGAACCTGGCACACTGATTTGAACTGTATTAAAATTTTAAAAATTAAAAAAAAAAATAGAGGTGAAATCAGGGTAGGAGATGAAGTGAGGAGGTGCCTTCTTTTCTATGCTGGAGAAGTTCAGGTAAGTGTGGCATGCTTGAGATTGATAGCCTCAGCTGTCCCTCCTTTGGCAGAAGTTATTTTGATATAGAACTGCTTGAATGTCCCAAGGGTTTCACCACAGAAACATGCCTAAAAGGGCCAAGGCTGCCATGAGAAATTATAGAGTGGCAGGTACATCCTGGGTATGAGCAAGACTGCTGGATGGTGTGTGGGTAGATAGTGAAGGCCCTAATTTGGACACAGGTGGACTCGGTGTATCCTAAACAGCACTGAAGAATCTGGTTATATGTAACGATTTTTTAAAAGGCTAACCTTACTCTGGGGGAAAAAAAAAAAATCTAGTATTGGCCAAATGAAGAAATGGAGCTTCATGATTAAGAGGACATTTAGAATCCAAGTACAGTAAACTTTCTGTCTTATAGCTATAACAGGAATGCATGGCTTTGAAAATCAGTACAGCAAGTATATATTTAGCATCTGGTAGCTGAATAGCAGTCTCTTGTGACTGAGGATGATTTCCCATGGTTATTTTTTGTGTTCTGAAATGACTAATGGAGCCATCTGGGATCAGCAGATTTTACTTCCCTGAAGGCTGGAAAAGTCTTATTTGACTTTATAATTCCCCACAATGTCAGACGCAGTGCCTGACATTCAAGTATTTATTAAAATAAATGAGTGAATATGTGAAGGTCAGTATTCTGATTTAGCTGTTTTTGTCATTCCCTTTGACTTCTGTATAGTAGTTTGTTGTAACCTTATACTCTTTTTGTGAACATTCTCAATAAATTTTTGACATAGACATTATATCATTTTCTAGATAGGGAGACTGAGGCTTTAGAGAAGTTAGGTAACTTGTCCAGTATCTCACTAATAAGTGGTAAAACCAAAATTCAAATCAATTCCATTGGATTCTGAAGATCACATGTTTTCTAGTATACTCTAGTTAGAAATAACATAGGAGGCATAGGAGTGGCCTTATGTTTCCTGAGTGTCTCTTTTTCTCTCTTCTTCCCTCCTTGAAAAAAAAAAAAGATAAAACTGTAGTCCTGTCCACTCATGCTTCTCTTTCTCTTATGACAAAAGAACCCTTACAACCTGAGATAGCAGCACTGTTTTCCAAAGCCTCTTGTGCCACTGACCAGTGTTCCTCCTGCCCATTCTGTATCTAGGAAGACAGTGGTCAGTGGAGCCCTGTTCCTAGAGTATTCTTCATCTGAGTAGTTAGTTTACTATCATTTCATGATACTTGTATGTCTCACATTTTTAGATTGCTCTCAAATACCTCTGAAGCACTTTTTAAAAAAAATTGTGATAAAATATATATAACATAAGATTTACTATTTTAACCATTTTTAAGGGTACAGTTCAGTGGCATTAAGTACATTCACATTGTCATGCAACTGTCACCACCATCCATCTCTAAAACTTTTTCATCTTTCCACCCAGTTCCCTCAGGTTGTTGGCAAATTTATCTCCTTGAAGCTATAGAGTGAGGTCCTCATTTTCTTGTTGGCTATTTGGTCAGGGACCATTTTCAGCTCCTAGAGGCTGTCTGTAGTTCCTTGCCCCACAGCCCTCTCTTGTAGGCCCTCTCATAACATGGCAGCCTAGTTCTTTAATGCCTACAGAGGTGAGTTTCTGACTCTGAAGAAGGGCCTGGCACCTTTTTAAAAGGCTTCTACCTGCTTAAGTCAGGCCCACCAAAGATAGTCACCATTCTGAATGACCCCAATCAACTGATTTGGAACCTTAAATACATCTGCAAAAATCCTTTCACTTTTGTCATGACATAATCTCATCATGGGGTGGCATCTTGCCATACTTTGTTGGTTAGAAGCAAGTCCCAACAGGTCCCACTGACACTCAAGGGAGGGGATTATACAGGATGTGAATATGGCTGGGGAGGATGGGAAGAACATAATAGAGCCGACCTGCTATAGCTTACTTTTTTTATCTATTTCACAGGGCTTTTTATCAGCAATTGGACATCCTTTCCCCAAAATGATTTTTAATCATGGAAGGAAAAAGAGGACTTGGGACTATCTTGAATTTGAGGAAGAAGAAGACAAACAGTTAGCAGACTCTATGGCTTCTCTGGCCTATCTGGTATTTGTACAGGGCATCAGTATTGATCAGCTTCCAATGGTCTTAAGGTAGGAGTTAATGTTTGGTTTACTCATGTATTCTAAAAGGAGTATCAAACTCATTAATCTAATTTCCAGTATATGTTTATTAATGTACTAATACATTTTAAATGAAGTATAAACAAAAGCTGTTTTTATTAATATTACTGCCTATCGTTTTAAAGCCAGTAGTACTCAGAGTGAAAAGGTGTTGCGGGGGAGGGTAGGGTTGAAACAGACATAATGATGGGGACAAGAATCAAAGTGTGAAGCCAAACCCTTGCGCTTGGTTTTGTAGCTGTTGGGATCATCCTGGTCTGTAAGGGAGGGAACTGGTCAGTTACCCATGGGGTGGTCTAAATCGCCATCATCTTTTAACTGTATTACTCATGTAATCCTGAGTATTTATATATCCAGCCTCAGTCTCTTTTAATCCAACTCTTTCAGAACACTAAGAGTAGTCCCTAATAAAAACCCTTCAGTGGCTTTTTGCTCTAAAGTCTAAAAATCTTCACATGAGACAAGCTTATGCATAATATGGTCCCTGCTTGATTGTCCTGGTTCACCTTCTACTACCTTTTGTCTTGTTTACTATGCTGCAGTAACACAGACCTTTTTTTGGTTTCTTATTTAAATGTGTCATGAACCTTTCTGCTGTAGGGCCTTTGTATATGCTTAGATCATCTCTAACCTTAAATATCACTTTATGAGGAAAAGTCTTCTCTCATCACCCAATTTAGGTTGAATCTTCCTGTTGTAATTATCTTAACCTTGTCCTCCTTTTCCCATAAAGTTTATCAAAATTATTTTTTAAATAAATATATAATTTTATAATGTAATACCTTTTGGACTTTAATATCCATGATAATAAGGATTACGTGCTTGCTTATCTTGCAGGCCATAGGTGTATTTCTTTGTGTGCACTTATATATTTATGTATGAATATACCTGGGGATATATTTCTATGTAAATACTGCAATAATGGTTACAACTTTCATGTTCACCATGTATTAAACAATATGCAGACAGCTTTGTATGCATTATCTAATCTTTACAATACTATAAAATACAGCATTCTCATTTTACAGATGAAAATAACAGGCTTACACAAATTAGGATACCAGTCAATACCATGCAACTTAACTAGTGGGATAGGTAGATTCAAACAGTTCTGAGCAGGTGGTGGTGGTATAGTGGTTAGCATAGCTGCCTTCCAAACAGTTCCATCTGACCCTAGAGCCTGTACTCTTAATCATACTACCACCAAAACGACTTAGGTACGTATGTTGGTTTGCTAAGACTGCCATAATAAAATGCCACAAACTGGATAGTTTTAAAATAACAGAAATTTTTTGTCTCATAGTTCTGGAGGATAGAAGTGTCAGGGTGTGGGCAGGATTGGTTCCTTTGGAGGGCTCTGGGGGAGAATCTGTTTCATGCCTCTCCCCTGTTTGCTGGTGGTTTGCTGGCAATCCTTGATGTTCCTTGGCTTGTAGATCTATCACTCCATTCTGCCTTCATGTTCATACGGCATTCTCTCTGTGTATATCTCTGTCCACATTTCCCTTTATTATAAGGACACCAGTCATACCAGATTAAGGCTCACACTAATGACTTCACTTTATCTCTAGGGTGGGGAGGTTCTTGTTCATCCCAATTTAAAAAAAAAAAATAAGGTGGCCCTATCTCCAAATAAGGTCATATGCTGAGGTTCTTTCTAGAGGTTAGGATTCCAACATTTCTTTTTAGAGGGGGGCACAATTCAACCCATAACAGTATTTATGTATATAAAATTTCTAAAAACGTACGTGTATGTGATGATATATACATATATATATGTTGTCTATTTTAGCCCATCGTACCTTTTGCAATTTAATATGGGGCATATTGAAGTCTTTTTGCAAAGGTAAGATCATTTAGATGGCATCTCAGAATTAAATAGTAGTATTAAAGTAGTTCTTGTTAAGAGTGGGGGAGACTACCTTCTTTTTGCCAGACCCTAATTAATTGGTTATTTTATAAAACAGTGATGTAAACATGAGACAAAAATGAGTCAAAGAGGTTTTACAACAAAAAATCTCTTTTAAATATTAAAATACTGTCTTCTAAGGTAATTTCCAGTCATATGCTTCTGAGGTTTCTTCCCTTATTTTAAAAGTTGGTAGATTAAAACACCTCTGTCCCATTGCAGCCTCCTTGATCTAAGAAGCGGTGGTCAGTAAAAGAAATTTATCCATGTTTTTGCTTCATGGACACAATCTGAACTGCATCGAAAGGAAGGAGGTGTCTTGACCCCACCTTTTTATAACTTAGATTATTAGATTATTGACAGTGATTATATACAGTAACTTTTCTTATTTGAGGCATTAAGAATGCAAATCTCTTTAAAAAAATTACAAAGTGACAAATACGTGTAATTCTTCCAGATAGATATTTAAGAATTTTGCAAAACTCTATACGCTTTGTGTTTTCTTGTAACATGTTTAAATTATCTCTTGCGATCAATCAGGACCTTTCAGTGGTATCCTATAGGAACATTAGTGACAGTTTATCAATCCCATCTCTTCCCAGGTGAAGGAAGATTTGTAACATGGCAAATGTCCAAAGCCTCGGCCTACAAGGCAGGAATTTCCAAGGGTCTCCTGGCACAAGTAGTTATTAACTCTGTAAATTTATTGTATTATGTATGTCTTAATGATTTTACATTCTTTTTAGTCTCTGTTATAGTCATACAATGAGAATATGTATTGATTTGAATCTTAAGTTCTATATTCTTAAGATTTCCAAACTATTTAGTCATTAAACAAAAACAACAGTTTTAACTCCTTGCATGGTTAGAATAGAACTTAGGCCTTGGATAATATTTTTTTCCCCAGAGCTTAAATATTTACTTAACAAAGATTATACACCTTTAAAAAAATATTATCACAAATGGAAAGCATTTACTTCTTGCATAAAAAGAACTGGAAAGAGTTTACAGATTAATCAACTGGAATACATAGTATATCATGTATAATTGGTTTCTTAGCACTTGCTGTTGAAGATCTATTGATTTGTTACTACGAAAGAAGCCCTGAGAGGGCAGATTTTGGTCAGATTCGGATGTCAGTAACCAAGTCCAAAGACAGATCAAACATGAATTAAGAATTTTGACTAAGAATTTTTCCTTAATGATATATATTTTTAAAGTCTTTAAATTTCAATTTTTGCTTTATTTTTCCTAAAATGAAGAATCATTCTAAAGCAGTTTAGAAAACCATGTTGAGGAGTGCCTGGGTGGCTCAGTTGTTAAGTGTCTGCCTTTGGCTCAAGTCATGATCCCAGGGTCCTGGGATCGAGCCCCGCATCGGGCCCCCTGCTCCGCGGGAAGCCTGCTTCTCCCTCTCCCACTCGCCCTGTTTGTGTTCCTGCTCTCGCTCTCTGTCAAATAAATAAATAAAATCTTTAAAAAAAAGAAAAGAAAGCCATGTTGATAAATTTTTAATATTCTCTTCCAGAACAGAAGAGTCTGTTTTCTCCAAAGGAGTGGTAAGATTCGTTTGCGCCCATTGTAATTTACACACAGCCATTGTCAACAAATACAGCTGTTGATTTCGCTATATATGTATCTCTGCATATATTTTAATCTGTAGGATCTGTTGGAGAATGGTTTGTTGAGAATAGAAGACAACAGTCTACTTCACCAGTACTTAGAAATCAAGAGCTTTCTTACTGTACCCCAGGTAAGTAAAATGTGTATTCTAATTTTGACATAGCCCCTTTCCTATTGTGAACTTAAGTAAAGGTCTTTTCAGACTCCTCTCCTACTTTCTTCTCCATATCCTTTGAAAACTCTAGTGCCATGTGTCCAGTAAAAGTTGCTGTGATGATGGAAGTGTTCTAGCTCTGATCAGTATGAAAGCCACTAGCCACACTGAGCACTTGAAATGTGGCTAACGTTGATTAAGGAACTGAATTTTTAATTTATTTTAAATTAATTTAAACTTAAATAGTTATATGTGGCTAATGGCTATCATAGTTGATAGCATAACACTTGTGGAAAAACAATTTTCTTCTTTGACACTTTGCTTCTGTAGGGACCTTGGAAATGAAACTTCTTTACTCATAAGTCCTAAGGACTCCATCAAGGGGTGCATGGACTCATTACTAGAAAGACATATTTTGTTTTTTCCTCCCGTGATTATTTTTACTTTGTACTATTTGTTAGTTATCATAGCCAAGTAGGTCTTAAGATGTTGATGTAGAAACATGTTTTTCCACTATTTAAACAGAAAAACATGGTGAATGGATATTTTCACATGTCTAATTTCATTTTTTGCCACTCTAGACAAAATTGTAAATTACAATTGACTTCTAAATTTACGCTCTGTAACACCCCTCAGTTTTAATTACAAAATGGATTGAACTTAGTTTCCTTAGATGTAACAGTGGAATGAAAGGCTCAGGGAGTGGCACCTGGGTGGCTCAATCAGTTAAGCATCTGCCTTTAGCTCACGTCATGATCTCAGGCTCCTGGGATGGAGCCCCTGCATCTGGTTCCCTGCTCAGTGGGGAGTCTGCTTGTCCCTCTCCCGCTGCCCCCCCCCGCCCCCCCCCACCCCTGCTCATGTTCCTCTCTCTCTCAAATAAAATCTTTAAAAAAAAAAAAATAAAGAGGCTCAGGAAAAATTTAATTTTTATATCTCCTACTTTCACTTCTCTGAAATTTTAGTACCCACCATTGATAATATAGTTGTCTATTGTCAGTGTAATCTATTAATATCTGAATTTTATTTTTTAATTTCCAGGGCTTAGTCAAAGTAATGACACTTTGCCCCATTGAGACATTGGTATGTAAATGTTTTGGGACTAAATAATAATGAATTACAGTGAGAAATTTTAATGATTAGTTTATAATTGATTCTTGAACAACACAGGGATTAGGAGTGCTAACCTCCAGCACAGTCGAAAAGCCACATATAACTTTTGACTCCCTAAAGACTTAACTACTAATAGCCTCCTATTGACCAGAAACCTTACTGGTAACAAGAGTTGATTAACATACAGTTTGTATGTTATATGTATTATATACTATATGCATGCAATAAAGTAAGCTAGAGAAAAGAAAATGTTAAGAAAATTACAAGAAAAAAATCGTAAGAAAAAAACATTTACAGTATTATACTTTATCGAAAAAATCTGCTCATAAGTGGACCTGCACATTTCAGACTCCTTTTGTTCAAGAGTCAACTATAATCTCCACTTTATGTAACAATATTATTTGTTTTATTTTAGAGGAAAAAGAGTTTAGCTATGCTTCAACTGTATATTAACAAGTTGGATTCACAAGGCAAATATACGTTATTTAGGTAGGTATCAGGAATGGTTGTCAAGTGTGTAGTTGATTAAAAACCAAATTAATGCCATTTAATTATTCCATGTTATAGTATTTAAGTATGTTTTACATGTAAATCGACTCTACTTGGAAGCCTTATTATAATAAATTCTTGTATCCCTATAGGTAGAGAAGGGTTAGTCAAATATTATGGATACATGTTATATGAATAATAGTATTTCAGTTCAACTAATGGAAATATTCTAAAATTAAAAGACTAGAGAGAGATTAAATAAGAGATTGATAAGGCCCCTGCTAGAACTGTACATATCAATAATCTTCATTATTCACTGTTGAAATTAATTGCTCTGGAGTTATAACTTTGATAGGCTATTCACTGTAAGTTAATAGTAGAGATTATTAATAGTGCTATTTAATGGGGAAAAGATTCTAGCAACTTTCCAAGTTAAAGAGCAGCAGACTTCTGTGTAAAGGGCCAAATAGCAAATACACATTTATATATTCACACGGTCTCTGTTGCAACTACTCAACTTTGTCTCTTTGGTGGGGGTTGGATGTGTTCCAATAAAACAGGCACGAGGCTGAATTTGGCCTGCAGACCTAATTTGTTGACATACCTCGTAGTAAATAAAAATGAGTTAAAAATAGATTTGGGCAATGTCAGTATGCCAAGAAGTCTTTTTTGAGGATTGGCCAATACTAGCACCCTTGATCCCATCTTCACTTCTGTTGACAAGACTTAGACCAGGTTTATGAAATTTTAATTTGATGCTTAGGTCTTATGCCAGCTTTCCTGGTCTTATCTACCTATATCCCTACCAAGAAATCCCCCTTTCTTCTTAAGCCATTCATACTGAGTTTCCTTTCTTTGTAATTAAGTTAGTCTAACAAGACTAGTCTACTTTCACAGGGAGTAATTCTGGGAGTTTTTAGGCTATTATATACTAGTGCCCATTTTTGCCATGTCAAGTCATTGCAACTATATGCACAAAAGATTCACATTAGGTTTAATAGAAATTTCTTGTTGGAAAGATCCAGTTAAAATAGAATTTGCCGGTTACAGCAAGAACCCACAAGTGACTTGGTAATTGGTTGACACATTACTATCTTCACTGATTGTTGTATTTCTAGAAATAACACATGGCCCATTTGAATTTGTAAAATTTTCATCATTTAAGTATAATGCAGTTGAGGATAAGTTCAAATGTATTGTAATTTTGCTTTTAAGGTGCTTATTGAATACAAGTAATCATTCAGGTGTGGAGGCTTTCATTATTCAGAATATCAAAAATCAAATTGATGTGTCGTTAAAGGTAAGAGCATAGCTAAGGTGTTGATCATCTTTTTTATTTTGTAGGATATAATCATTCATTTGTGGACTACATTAATGTGGACTCTACCCTGTGGACATTTGCTATATCTATGTGCTATCTTGTCAGGGCATATTTTTTCAACATTTCTGTTTTTTAAAAACCTGAATTTTGAAATTTTGTTAACTCTATATTTAAATAGTATTAATTCTTTGAGCTGAGAATATGACTTTGTTTTGCTCTATACTTCTGAAATATTAATGGAAACTTAAGTCTACTGTTTATGAATAGTCAGTAATTCTATATTGAAAACAAAAAATGTATCAGTATTTTCAACTGGCATTTTGTCCTCAGTGTCTACAAAGAGTGTGAAAGAATGGAAATGAAAGTTTAAAAAATATATTTTAAATGTGTAATGTTTATTTTTATAGTATGAAGGTATTAGAAAAACACATGAATTAATCAACTGTTATTTAAAACCTTTCCCAATTTTTATTTTGCTTTTCAGAGAACACATAACAACAAATGGTTTACAGGCCCACAGCTGATCTCACTTCTAGATTTGGTACTCTTTCTCCCAGAGGGTGCTGAAACAGATTTACTCCAAAACTCAGATAGGTAAGGTGACCATTACTAAGGTTCACATAGTAAATTCACAATAAAATGTGGAACCCGTGCTTGGCGAACCTAAACAAATAAGATGCATTTTCCTGTTACGTTATGATCTATGGCTAATTCATAAAATTACATAAAGATTTTCATATTTAGGTAATTAGATACTGTGTAAAAACAAAATTAAAAATTCCTTTCCAAAATTATGACCAACAGGATGATTTTATACCTATGATGTGCCCTGTGTTCCAATACACAACTCATAGGGATTTGCAACTATAGCATTGGTGACTAAAAACTAAGAATTTCATATATATAACTTATATAAATAAGACATGTGGTTTGGGTTTTATTGTTTTGTTTTCTAGGACAACATGTAATTTTACTTTCAGTCTACTAGCATGGATGATGAGAAGTGGTTTTATAAAAGGAGTCTTAAAATTCAGGCAGTAAGAGATGTTACTCTCAAGTATTAGATGTTACTCTCAGGGGAAAAGAATAGTAATTTTCACAACTGTATTTTGTGAACTTGGAGAACAAGAATGATAATTACTACTCCAAAAGATGTGTTAAGGGGAATAATTTCTAATGGCAAACATAATTGTAAAAATATGCCCTAGGTTTTAACTTATTTTATTCATTGAAATTGCTGATTATATAAAACCGTACTATAAGTAACAAATTATATATTTTTAATTAACAGGATAATGGCTTCATTAAATTTATTGAGATATTTGGTTATCAAAGATAATGAGAAAGACAATCAAGTAAGTGAGTTTTTTTTTTTTTAAAGAAACAGTATATTCAAAATGCACGAGCCAATATTAAATTATCTTACCCAACAACAAAGGCTAGGAGAAGTACCAGCAGTTATTCTAAAACCTGAAGTTAATTCCCAGGAGCCCTTACCACCCCACACCCAGCTTCCCTTTCCTTTTCCTATTGAACCTCTGCTATCTTGCTGGAAGCATTGCTTAGCCCTGTCAGGAAGATACGTTGCAGGTCCTGAGTTAGCTAAATTTTTGAAGTGTGCATATGTTTGGGTGTCTTGTTCAGTTGCCTCCATCTATAGGTCATGATTTAAGTCTAAGCTGTCTAAAATAAAATCATCTGATAATTTGATAGCCCCTCACCAGATACGACTAACTGAAGCATTTTCAGCACTAAAACTGAAATCTGTTAACATCACCTTTTGGATAATGTGTAGGAAGTTTTTTGTTTTCTTAATAGTGCATCATTAGAGGTATTCAGTGAAGACAAAAAACTATTTGAGGGAGATTTGTCATATAGTAAAATTAGATTTGCTTTTTATCTTCTTTCTACCTATTTTCTCTTCTAATAGTTGCTTTCCCATAATGTGTCATCTCTATTAACTGTAACTACCTGAATCACATGTGTAGTTAATCTGTTTTTTGGGGTTGTTTTTTTTTTTTTAAGAAAATAATAAAAGAAATCAAAGTATTTTTTCACAGGGCTTGAGCTCACAACCCTGAGATCAAGACCTGAGTTGAATCAAAAGTCGGAACACCTAACCAACTGAGTCACCCAGGAGCCCTTGATTTTTACAGAAGGATGCCAAAGAGCTTTGTAAAAGAAAATTTAAGTAAATCATGATTTGGAATGAAAAGTTAGTAAGACAAGTAGCAGTTTCCCTCCCTTTTGACTGAATTTAGTAGATTCAGTGAGCTGACCTCCTGTTCATCCCTCTTCAGGCAAAAATAGTTATTTGCTATTATTGACTAGTGCTTATTTTTCCCCAACATCTTATTGTGAAGCTTACTAAACATACAGCCAAGTTGAAGATAATTTTACAGTGATCACTCACTGATTTACCCATCACCAAGTTGCTACCATTAACATTTTACTCTGCTTTTATCATATATCAATCTTTCTACCTTCTGTTCACCAGTTTTTTTATGCACTTCATAGTAATCTACAAACAGCACACTTACCCCTAAATATTTCAGTAAACAGTTAAACATGTCTATAGTTTTTCTGAGATAAAATTTACATAAAATGAAATGCATAGATTTTAAGTGTGTATCTCTGAGTTTCAACAAATGGATAGATCTGTGTTATCCAAATCTTTATCACAGATAAAACATTGCTGTCATTAGAAGTTCCCTGTGTCCTTTTCAGCTTTTCTTATTTATTTTTTACTTTTCCTAGATAATGTACAGACATTGAAAGGATCTTTACCTTGCACAAGGGCACATACCTAGTAAGTGGTAGAGATAGCTATGACCTCAGGCAATGGCCAGAACCTTTGAATCACAAAGTATATCCTGACTCCTAAAGGAGCTTCTGGTAAAAAATAGAAAAGATAGTAAGTGAAATTCAGCAGCAGTGGAGGCCCTGAGGCTTCAGGAAGGTGTCCTTAGAGTAAAGTATGAGTTTACTCTTTTAGTAATCAGGAAAGGCCATACCTAGAAATGATCTGATTTGCCTGACAGGGAGAAAAAGAATCTTTTTGATTAAGAGTGATAAATTTATTAGGTAAGGAACACAGTCTGCTACAGGGGCAGCAAATGGGACTCTGCCTAGAGAGGGAAGACAGAGCAATTTAGCATTATGGAATATCTCCTATTATACCCACAGATGCCTCGCTTTTATTTGGCTTGAACATTGTTATGGTAAAGAAAAGGATATAACCAGTTTATAAGATTGTTTTCTTATTTAATGGTTTAAAAAATTTTTTTGGGGCGGGGGGCACCTGGGTGACTCAGTCAGTTCAGCGTCTGTCTTCAGCTCAGGTCATGATCCTGGGGTCCTGGGATTGAGCCCTGAGTTGTGCTCCCTGCTCAGCACGCAACCTACTTCTCCCTCTCGCCCCGCTTGTGCTCTCTTTCTTTCTCTCAAATAAATAAAATCTTTAAAAAAAAATTTCTTGGGAATCAAATATTCCAAAGTATTACCATGCAAGTTACTATAAGAATTATTATACCAAGGAGATTAGCAAAAGAAACTGAGTCCAAGATGGCAACCTGGTATATTTGCGATGTCATAAGAGCCTCTTCATCACAGAAGCATTTCTCCCAAGTGCAATTATAATAGGTCATATACACACATGCTAGGTAAATCTGTCTGCTATGGTTAATCAAAAAATGACAGCTTCTGAGCTTTTATAAATTTTGATTAAAGAAGAAAGAAAATGATACCCTAGTGAGGCTGAATTATGGGTAGTTTTATTCAGACTCCTACCAGTACCTTTTTTTTTTTTTTTAAAGATTTGAGAGAGAGCGGGAGCCTGGGGGTGGAGAGCACAGGGAGGGGCAGAGGGAGAGAGGGAGAAAGAATCTCCAGCCGACTTCCTGCTGAGGAGGGAGCCTGCGACAGGGTTTGATCCCAGGACCCTGAGATCATGACCTGAGCCAAAATCCAGAGTCAGATGCTCAGGGCACCTGGGTGGCTCTGTCGGTTAAGCGTCTAACTTCAGCTCAGGTCATGATCTTGGAGTCCTGGGATTGAGTGCCACATGGGGCTCCCTGCTCAATGGGGAGTCTGCTTCTCCCTCTGCTTCCCCCCATGCTCTCTCACTCACTTTCTCTCTCAAATAAAATCTAAAAAAAAAAAGATACTCAACTGGGTAAGCCACCCAGGCAGCCCCTACCAGTACCTATTTTTGACCAGTTAAGCATGCTGAGAGCTGAACTAGTCAGATGAAAAGCTGAGAAGCAATCAGAAAGGTATATAGGAAAATTAAGAACAGGATCAAATACAAAACAAAGTGATTCATAATTGAATAATAATCCATTTCTTTTCCTACTATTTTGGGTTGCTGTCAGCTGACTCATTCTTTTCATAAGTCATTCCCCTTTTCACCGTATATCTCTTCACCCTATTATCTCTCTGCATAAGTTATAGGCACCTTCTCCCACACTTCAGCTTCACAAAACTTTTCTTGAACCTCCATCTCTGCTGGTAAAACCAACTTAGTTTTTATACCTAGTGTTCTGTTTGGTAGGTATCTTTATTTATTTTGCTAGGTATCTTTAAATGTTAGTTGTTTTGAATTACAGTAATTTATTCTAATACACGGCCCATAATTTTTATCCCTCACTTTCTGTCCTATCTACTCATACTTTCCCATCTGCCTGCTTACTATTTTTATCCTAAATTGATATTGTAATATGTTGAATGAAAGCAGGGTCAAGGGAAACCATGGGAGATTGTAAAGGCCACAAGTATCAGGAATTTTTAAAAACTGAATTATATAATGTATGCAGATTTGCTTTTCATTTAGGAAAAAAGCTATAAATGTCTGGCATATATATATACACATACATATAATTCCATATAATCCATATTTTGGGTTTTCATTTATTGAAACATATGCCTTGTGTATTATTTCCTTCTTTTATTTCTTCATTATCATGGTTGACTGTATCTTTTGCGAGGTCCCAGTCTGTTCTGGCAATGAATTTCATGTTTTTAGAACTGCCTAGTCTTCCTTTTTTGAGGGTAGGCTACAGTGCGTTTTTTATATAGGTAAGCTTTAGAACGGAAAAAACTCTCGTTATTACATAAGTGATTCTACTTGGGAAAAATTAAAAGCAAACATTTGTGAAAACTTCACATTTTTATTTTTATCCTTATAACTATTTTTTTTAACTCTTAAGTTACTTTTTCTAGACATTGAAGATAAATCTTAAAATGATTTTCTTTGTAGTATTTTTTAAGTATCTAGTAACCTTTTTATAAGAGAAAATATTCTTACTTCCATAGCTCTTACACTCCTACATGCTTCTAAAATTATTACAGTTCATCATTTGAAAGATTTGTGGAATTATGCTGAACAGAATGCACAACAGATTTTCTGTAACCTAATTTTTCCACCATTTTATTGCCTTCTAAGTTTTAGGATTATGGGCCATATATTATTAAAAACAACGAAGCTCTTGGGTTGCCTGGGTGGCTCAGTCAGTTAAGCATCCAACTCTTGGTGTTGGCTCAGGTCATGATCTTAGGGTCATGAGATCAAACCCCTCATTGGGCTCCATGCTCAGCACAGAGCCTCCTTGAGATTCTCTCTCCCACTCTCTCCCTCTGCTCCTTGCCCCGCTTGCATACTCTCCCTCTCTAAAATAAAATCTTTAAAAACAAAAACAAGGGACGCCTGAGTGGATCAGTCACTTAAGCATCTGCCTTCAGCTCAGGTCATGATCTCAAAGTCCTAGGATTGAACCCCGCGTCCGGCTCCCTGCTCACGGGGGAGTCTGCTTCTCCCTTTGCCTGCTGCCCTCCCTCCCCTGCCCGTGCTCTCACTCTCTCAAAAATATTTATTTAAAAATTCAGTTTCTCATTGGCATTGGATGGGTGTATTAATGAGTACACTGTCCAAAGTACATTTTTGTTTGTATTTGTATTCACGTAAAATAACTAGATATAATAATGAACGTATTAAACAGTAAACTATATTGGAAGGCAAGGATCAGATTTTATTTTGTTTCTCCAACTCTCAACATATGTTTAATAATAGGCAATCAAGAAATGCTGAACCAAGTAACTAATTTTTTCATTCTTCTGAACAGACTGGATTATGGACAGAACTTGGAAAGATTGAGAATAATTTCTTAAAGCCACTCCATACAGGACTTAATATGTCAAAAGCACATTATGAAGCAGAAATTAAAAATAGCCAAGAAAATAGCCACGGTTGGTAATGTGCAATTTCATTTTTGGTTGGGTTTAAAATTTAGTCAAATTTTATAACTGTCAGTTATATTCAAAATAAAGAACTTTTTCATCATACTTGTTTATTTTCTAACATAGAACCATGACAGCTAAGTCATTTTACTTATAATTGAAATGATTTTTAGCAGATGTGTAAGCCAGTTAACACTGAAATTAGGTAAACAAAGATTTAAACCAAATTGAAGCATATTCTGGTTTAAAACCAGATTAAAATCAAATTCTGATTAAGAATCTAATTGTATTACAAGTATTTCTGTTTGGATATTACACTAACTTGGGTATGGCTCTGTCCATCCTCACCCTCAAATAAATCTGTACAAATTATGAAAAAGAATCTTAGATCCAGAATTACTTTTTAAAGTCAGCAAGCAATTCTATAATAATCTTCTGCTCTTTTCTGTATAGCTATGGAGTATTATAGGTATTACTAGAAATTTTTTTTTTAGTGTAATGGGTATAATAATGAAAGTAGCTTATAAATTATTGAAATATGAGATTTGTTTTAATGGTTAGATATGACACTTTTTTTTTTCTTCTCTTACAGAAGTCCAGAAGTCTAAAGATCTTTGTTCTGTAACTGTAGGTGGAGAAGAGATCCCTAATATGCCTCCTGAAATGCAGCTTAAGGTAGATCTGAAATTTTCCTAAGCTATATCCAGCTGAAGACTTTTGTTTTTTTGCTTTAACAGCAACATTAATATAACACTAATTTTCCTTGGCACTGCAGGTCCTACATTCAGCTCTTTTCACATTTGATTTGATTGAAAGTGTTCTGGCTCGAGTAGAAGAACTCATTGAAATAAAAACAAAGTCTACCCCTGAAGAAAATATTGGGATAAAGTGAAACCTCCATTTCCTAAATAAAAACTAGTAAAATACTGTATTTTCCATTATGATTATTTAATACCTTTATAAAAACTTTTCTGTAAGATACTGCTAGAAAAATAAATGTAGCTTTTCTCATTTACTGGTTTCTGTGATGACACATTATGGATTAGTAGTATTCTTTGGTTTTAAAAAAGATAATTTACATGGTAAATAATGCCCATATATGTATTCTAAATTCTGTTGAAAATCCAATACAAACTAATAATTTTGTATTATAATCTCATAAAATGTAGTTGTATTGCCCTCAATCATACAGTTGTAGTGAATTTATAAATATATTTTACACTTCATGTTCCAATTAGATGCTTTGTTACACTTCAGAATTCCTGGTGTCAAATAGGATATCACACCACCGTAAAAGTGTACAGAGAGGTTTTCAATTAGGCCAGTTGTCTGCTTCTCTTAATTTCCCTTTCTTTCCCTACCTCAGGAGGAGTCTTAGGGGGCAGAGTCCATAACCATCTCTCTAGCAGCAGTTATAATATGAAAGCATGTGCAAACATTAATTTTAGAAATACTGGCAGCCCTTGTGGAAAAGCTAAAATATGTATGTGACTTTTCCTTTAGTCTAAGGAGCTAGTTAGGAAATGCAATGTTTTTATTTTGTAGTAAATATTTTCCATCCAACTTAATTTGTATCACTAAGAAACTGCATCGGAGTTTTATAATATATGTACCAATTTTTTCTAAACATTATTAAATGAATTATCAACAAAACTGAAAATCATTTTTGATCATATACATTTTATTTAAATTTTTAAAAAATCTTTAAATAGATATTTGAACATTATAATTTAAGTGGTAATTACTTTAACATTCTTCCAAAAGAACTTTTGTAATTGATACTCTAATTTGGGTTAAGTGAATCACTACTCAGTTTTAACTTTTGAAGTGTTTTCCAAACGGGACTTTGCTCAATGATGTAAGCCTCAGTTGTTATCATTCTATAGCAAATGCTGTCTGTGTATGGTTTGGAGGCAGTCTGTAAGAAGTTATAAACATGCAATATTATTTACAGAAATAAGTAATTTTTACAGGGTCATATAAAAAACTTTCACTTACTCAGCAGGTATCAAATCACCTTCTTTGTGCTAAATACTAGGTATGAGTTAATTATGAGTAACAGAAAAATGCTTGGTCTTTGAAACAAGCCAAAAGTTGAATACTTTAAGAACCCTTTAATATGGAGATCTGTTCCAGGCATAAGAAAGAGTAAGAAGCACCTAACTCTGCCTAGGGCACACTTCACAGGGGAGGACAAGCATGAAAACCAAGTGGACAACTTCTGAAGATCATCCTATAAAATAGTATGTTTGCACTTTGACAGTTTTTGACTACAACCTGATCAATAACTGTATTTTAGAACTTGAAGGAAGATTTAAGAAACCAGTAGGGCCAACACAATGTATATATGCCAAATGCTCTTTTGGCCTAAAGTTAGTCATTTTTGTAGTGGCTACTGGAAGTAAACTGAGAAGATGATAGGCTGAGTTCAGGCTTCAAAGAGCTGCATGCTGAAAGAGCAACTTCTGAGGGGAACAGAAGCAGAGTTATTTGTTAATCCTGCTCACGAGGGCGTGCATTTTGAAGTCAAGAACCTTAAAATCTATGAGTGCTATGTATGCATCATTTTCCTAGGTGACTCACCTTAGCTATAGTGCACATAAGATTAATAGCATTTACTGTGTTGTGTACTGGAAGTATCCGTAAATTACTACCCAGGAATCTGAAAAATAATTCATAAGTAGATCATATAACTTATACAGACATCTGTTAAGCGGAAAGGAGACAGAAACCTCTTATTGTTTGTCATTTATGAATTTATTCATGCCCTGCCCTATTCCACAGAGGATATGATATGGCTTTATACCCAGAATTTAATAGACTAAAAAGTGTTCACTTTTGTTTTGGTCTTGCACGAAAATCTCAGAAATCAGCATGAACTCTGAAACTTGTCATCCTGATTCTTGGAGTAGCCATTAGGCCTGCATTTTATTAAATATGACAAGTTAACATTACAATGTTTATCTTTTGGCAAAACATAACTCAACTGCTTAAAAGGATTAAGAACTAAAGTAAATACATGTGATTTAAGAAAAGTCTGTAGTACTATTCTTCCATACCTCTGCTGAATCCTGAACATCAGTTTCCATTCCTCAGACCCATGGAGGGCAGCAGACAGAACCAAAAAACTGTTCCGGTGAATATTAATAAACTTCTCAATTTTGGCTAGAAATATTTCTTCAGCTGATATAAAGCATTCTTTGGCATCCATCAATAAAAATGCAAGTCCTAGGAAAGGTAAGCATAATATAAAACATCACTTTGTAATAATGAAAATTTTTTGTAAACTCAGTAGAATCAACAAAAATAGCTATAATACAGCTCTAAGTGTCCAGGATGCAAACCTGTAAGGAACAGAATTTACTGTAACAAAATTTTTTTTTTTTTTAGATTTTATTTATTTCAGAGAGAGAGACACATGAGAGAGGGAACACAAGCAGGGGGAGTGGGAGAGGGAGAAGCAGGCCTCCTGCGGAGCAGGGATCATGACCTGAGCTGAAGGCAGACGCTTAATGACAGCCACCCAGGCCCCCCTAACAAAATTCTTATACTACAAAATGATTTAGCTAATTCTTTGAAATGCTCTATATAAAAGGATAACTTATTCTAGAGGAAAAAGCTTTTTTGGTAACCATTTTCAAACCAAGGCACTGTACGCAACGAAAGTAATACCTAATTTTAGTTAAAAGTGGTTTTTTGTGTGTTATATAATGAATTTTTAAAAGCTGGAAATCAAAGATAATCTTAAGTCTTCAACTATTTCTTGGAGAAACCTTTGTAGAGAACATTATTATTAAAACAGTGAGCAGATAATCTCGGATTTTTTTTTTTTAAGATTTTATTTATTTGTCAGAGAGAGTACAAGTAGAGGGAATGGCAGGCAGAGGGAGAAGCAGGCTCCCTGCTGAGCAAGGAGCCCGATGCAGACTCCATCCCAGGACCCTGGGATCATGACCTGAACCAAAGGCAGACGCTTAATCGACTGAGCCACCCAGGTGTCCTGTAATCTAGGACTTTTGAAACAGTAACAGGCCTGTAAAAATAGTCCTGAAGGGAAATTTGATCCAATTATAGCTCTTTAAAAGAGAAAACAATCTGAGGAAAGTGATTATATGATTATATGCTCATTGAATGAACTTGTGCAATTTACATAAACCTTCCTGAACCTAAGTTCTCCCATCTAGAAGAATGTAATAATTCTTTCATAGGTTTGTTGAGAGGATTAAATAAGATACTGTATACAAAGTGGCCAAGGGACACAGGAGGTATTCAAAAACATTTCACTTCTCCCTAGAGGGCTCTATTCAACCAGGAAGGATGAGTTTGAAGTTGGACCACTTTCAGCCTGGAGTTTTATTTCTAGGAGCTTTTGAAAGCTGTCTTCTAAAACCTCTGCTAGAATAACAGTCTATCTGCAAACCTCCTGGTAAAATCCTTTATCTCCACCTCTTTCATCATTTTGGTCATTTCCCTACCACAAACCTATGCTCTGTACTGCTCCCTTCCCATCACCTTAGGCTTCTCATACCCTAATCTAATTCCTTCCTGTATTTTGCCCATGACAGTTGTACAGTTTTATGATTTGAGGAAATTTTATTTGTATCTATTTGGCTCTTTTAGTTAGTATCTGTTTCCATTATATTCAGCAAACTCTTGTACAAAATCCTGATAAAACATTCTCCTATATTGTTTTTATATATGGCTTTTGACCAGTGTTGTGATGTTGGCCTCTTTGTTAATACTGGTAACACATTAAGTACTGACTGTTGGAGAGATGGCTTTGTTCTATTTGCATCTTAGTTCCAAAGCATGTCATTTTTACTATCCTCTTCCAGATTCCATGGGTTCAGCTTTAGTTCAACAATAATTTTTGTCTGTTTGTTTAAAGAGGAAGTGGCGGGGGCGGGGGAGGGAGGCGGGGACGAGAATCTTAAGCAGGCTCCATGCCCAGCACAGAGCCCGATGCAGTGCTTGATCTCACAACCCTGAGATCACGACCTGAACCGAAATCAAGAGTCGGATGCTTAACTGACTGAGACACCCAGGTGCCCCCAATTATAATCTAAACAAATGCATGTTTTAGTTGGCCACGTGCACTACTTTTGCAGCAGTAATAAGTTTTATACATTTACTTCTCCCAAAAGATAATACCTTAAGCTTCTTACCTGGTTACTGAACTATCACTATTAGAATTTATACTCACATATTTAAGAAACTTAAGACAGTTAACAAATATACCATACCAGAAAGAGAAAATATAATTGATCCATTTTCCACGGAATCTGAATACCGAATCTTGTGGCTTCGATTTTCTAGGGCAGTTGCAACTTCACAACTCTAAAAAAATTTTTTTCAGAAACACAAACTTAAGACGTGCTTAGAATGACTTTTTATTAAAGCTAATGAAAAAATTAAGTTTAATAGCTTCTTTTATAACCACTTAAATATTTGCTCATCAAAGGAGACAGTAAATGTTCTCTCTGGTGAAAAAAAAACACTTTAAAAAAAGCAAAAATATTTAGTTCTACTGAAACACACAGTGTTTGGAAATGAGTTGTGCACTAGTTATTTAGGGACAAACTAAGGACAGTATTAAAGAACTATAAGAAACAGAGCAAATGCAAACTTCGTTAAAAAACAACTGGGAGACAGATTCTGACATGCATTAATGTAAATTGGAAGGTGGGTGGCAGTGAGTTTCTTAGATGGTTCACAATACCATGAAGTGCCAGACACAGAATACCACAGACAACCAATTCTCCAATTCATTTGTGTACATTACAGTTATTTTTATACTTTTTTTTTTAATTTTAAGATTTTATTTGTCAGAGCACAAGCGGGGGAGTAGCAGGCAGAGGGAGAAGCAGACTCTCCACTGAGCAAGGAGCCCAA